GAACCACAGGAAGTTCCATCTGAACCTGAGAAAAAACTTCTTCACTGTGAGGGTGACAGAGCACTGGAACAGGTTGCCCAGAGAGGTAGTGGAGTCTCCTTCGCTGGAGATATTCAAAACCCGTCTGGATGTGATCCTGGGCAATATGCTCTAGGTGACCTTGCTTGAGCAGGGAGGTTGGACTAGATGATCTCCAGAGGTCCCTTCCAACCTAAACGATTCTGTGATTCTGTGATTCTGTGTGATTCACCCTTAAAAGGGACATGTTGGCCTATTGCTTCCTTAAAATGAGGAAGTGAAGAGACAGACAAGAAAAACCTAGGAAAAGGTGACATCTGGAAGGCCAGGATAGAGCCAGAAGAGGGGGAACTTTAAGGGGGTGAGGATTTATACTAGGAGAGATAAGGGTGAAGAAGTGAGAGGGTGTTAAAGGGCTTTGGCAGATCTATTTTTTGCCAGTGATTAGCACCCCACCCACCTCCCATCCTGGTTGCCTGCAGCTACTTCTTAGTACAACACACATACCCACAGAAAGGCTCTGCAACTTGCCCCTTGCACACAATTCACCAGACCAAGGACTGGAGATTCTGATATCCTGTGGTGCCCCTGTTGTCAAAAAACAATATAAATTGTCCTGAGGAACCAGTTTCCTTGTGGATCTCCGGGCATGAGGGTTATTCCCTCCGCTTCATGATGCTGAGATAATACTGGACGAGTGTTAATGGAGAGGAGAGGCAGGGGATGAAATTGATTCTGGTTAAACAAAACAGGAGATTTCAGGGGTTACTGGCAAAGGAGAATTCTGATCTACTGTTTTGGGCTCACCCAAATGGTTTCATTTAACCAGAAAGGGAAACCTCTATCTTTTCAGGTTTTTAAAATAAAAAGATATGCTAACAGAAATAATGTTGGCCAATTTTAGACAATGAAAAAACTGTCATTTAGAAAGAAAGAAGTCTGAACACTGTCACAAGGGAAATGTCAAAATGAAGCATTTTCTCATTTCCAAACCAAAACATTTCCATCCAGAAAATGTGAAAAATGAGGTGTTTTGACATGTTCAAAGAATTCTTCTGCTACCTTCTTTGCTGAAAATATTTGGCAAATTCTATCAGCATAAATGTTTAAAAAATGCAGTCTCTGAAACTTCCAGATTTTAGATAAATCAGTTCATCGGAGAACATGGCTCACCTCTGGCAACATGAAAGCTACTGGTGCCTGGAGTAGCAGAGGGAGGACCATATATTAATTAACTATACTGATCTCTGCACCTACCTCAAAAACCCCATTCTGGCCCTCATGCTGACATGCCAGTGGGTCTTAAAGTCATAACTGGGGAGATATCAGAGAGAAGTCTAAGTGCCCTGATTGGCAGCAGAGGTACCTTACATAAAATCCCAAAACAGCAGAGGCTCTATCTACCCAGTAAAAAGGGTAGACATCCTTGCCCTCTGCTTGGAATCAAGCCCATGTCTTGCAGCTGACCTCAGACCACTTATTAGTAATACATTAAATCCTAGTCGTTTCTTAATCCTTTTGAAATGGGATAACAGGGCAGTTAATTAGCACATACCAAAACATGCAATTCTGATGAAGAGGCACTGGTTAACATACTGACTACCAAATGTCAGGATGCATTTTTAGCACTGAATGGAATTAATTTGCCAGAGTTCCCTTGTTAAATGTCAGATCCTTATGACTTGTATACATTAAACAATTCAGGAATTGGGAAGCACTTGTGTAATCGAGTTAAGCGTGAGATGAGCAGATTTCTTTCACCTAAACAAACCTGAAACTTTCCTTTTCCAATTAATATTTCATTTTATAACAGCCGCCACATTAATTCTTAATTAAATGCTTATTTGAGACACTCTACTGATTAGTGTGAACTAATGAGAAACAATATGAATTGTTTATTTAGCTTCTAGTTATTTTCCTTCATAAAATGAAGGGAGTTTGGATGTCTTCTTTCATGTCTTGCTGTGCCCTAAAATGACTTTCTTGCAGAGTAACTTCTGTAGAAATAACACCAATTTCAACTACAAGAGTGTTTACTGAGAATCTAGTCCATGGGGATTATCAGATTGCAGGAATGTCTGCAAAACACATATTTTGGGGTTAATACAAAGGTAAGTCCCAAAAGGTGAATTCAGCTTTGAGGACACTGAGCTTTGCTCCAAGAAAGCCCAAATGGGTCAAAAACACAAATGTGACCTTATGTAAAAGGAAAAAGAATCAGCAATACTCATATTTCCAACAATATAGAATTAATGATGGTGCATAACCTACAAATTGGGACAAAGCTGCACAAGTCATGACTAAATGCTAATAAATGTGTAGATAGTTGACCAGGAGAAGCTATTATGATTGCTTGTCTGCTCTACTTTTCTGCAGGCAAGCAAAGGGCAATACTTCCCCTAGTGTATCTTCTCAGCTTTTAGCAGATCATAGCCTAGGGACTTCTTGAACCAAAGGTTACATACATGTATTCCTATTCAAATCCCAGCAAAATATCTCCAACAGGAAATTGTCTATATGCTTTTTAACCCATGAGACAGCAACAAAAAGCAGAGGCAATGATGGTGCAATCCAGCCACTCACCAGGAGTTTGAGCTCTCCCACAGAGAGGCTGTGTCATACCTGTGAACAAGTTTCTTGCCACTCTCTTAATCTCTTCCACTTCTACTAAATCTTTTTTGAGGTGGGTGAAGCACAGGTACACAATATTCGAGATTTGGTAATGATATGGATTTGCACAGTGGCATTACACCACTCTCTGTTCCTTTCCTAATAACGTTGAAATTCTGTTTGCTGTTTTTGGCACTGCTGAATGCTGAACAGATATTTTCATGGAACTTTGCCCACTACCGAGATCTATTTAATTTACACCCTCTGATTATGCGTGTATATTCAAGGCTTTCTTCTAGGTTCGTGATGCAGCATTTATTGAGCATGAACTTTTCTGTTATTTTATCATCTAGCCTTTCAGAATTGCGAGATTCTCCTTCAGCCTTTCACAGGCAGCTTTAGATTTGACTGTCCTTTAGGTTTAGCTGCTGTTGTAGATTCACAGTAAATTATGTGAACTTTATAACTCATTCCTTTACCTTAATGAAAATGTCACAAGGCACAGGGCCAAGGCCAGATCCTTCAGAAACTCCATTGGCATTTTGCCTTCAAGCTGAAAGCTCATCATTTATTTCTATCTTTTGCTTCAGCCACTCACTAATACACAAACAGACCTTCTCCCCTTTTGCGGGACATATTAGTTTCTAAAAGAGTTGTTAGTGAAGGGACCTTACTGAAAGTTTTCTGGAAAGACAAATATTTCATCTGGATTTATCATTTATGCACTTATTAACCCTTTCAGAGAGCTCTTATGCATTTCTGAAGCAAGACTTCCCTATATTTCTAGTTATCTGCTCTTTTTGACTACTTTTATTAATTTTTCTAGTCAGTGTTCAGGATTGTATTTCTCCAGATTCTTAGAAATTCCTTTAAAAGTTGATTTCTCACTTTTTGCGTTTCATTGCTATAATACTGGGATTCATTTAAGTGATAGTTTGCATAACACAATGAGTAGTTCAGCAATTTCATATCTGAATTCCTTTAAACCTCTTGGGTGAATGCCATCTGTTCCCGCTCATTTCTTACTGTTCATTTTATCAGTTTTTTCTAAAATATCCTCCTTCAGTTCTGACAGTTGGTCAGACTCACCATCTGTAAAGAAGGACTCCCCTAAGCTCTCAATAATAAGCACCAATGCAAAGAAATAACCTTTCTTCTCTTCTGGGATCTTTAACTTCCTGGAGATCTTCTTTTATACCTCTGTCATCCAGCAATTTTCTGGTAAGACTCCTTCTAATGTGTTTGGAAAAAAATCCTTTTATTTCAAGCTTTATTCCTTCAGTAGGTAGTTTCTCAGAACCTGATTTGACTTACAATATTATGGTTTCATATTTAAGTCACAAGAGCTCTTCTCTATTTTAATTTATTTTAAAATGACTTATGCTTTTTAAAGAATTTCTGTTTAACTCTAATCATGTTGTTTAAACTGTCCTTCTCTAGTTTAGGACTGTTTATATCTTTTTCAGTGGATGGTATAACCTTACCACATGCTTCTGATGCTGTATGTCTAAATACATTTAAGACACCCAAACACATTTTACCCTTTTTGCAGCTCCTTTTACTTTCTTTTAACATGTTTCTCATTTTTCTTTTTCATATCATTTCTTCTTCATGCCTTTTTAAAGTTAAACTTTAATAAAGACGATTTTTACCTGTAGCTTTCTCACTTCTGCAAAGCTATATAAATGTAAGTTATAATGATCATCATTGCAGAGTTACTCTTTGAGATTTGTATCTCAAACAATATCATTTCACAACTCAGGAATAAATAAAGAACTTATTCTTTTCTGATGGGATCTCTGAGCACTTTGAGCAAGAAGATGTCATTTACAGTGTCTAAAAATTAGTTTCTATACCTTATCTCTTTCTAACATTTAACCTGTTTACATGGATGTAACTAAAGTCTCCCATTATGTTTTGTTTATTCCTACAACAGTGCCTTCATTCCCCTACATTTTAGCAAACTACAGCCTATGCAAAGATCTAAGAGCTTGTACTTCATTGTATTATGCACTTAGTGTTTGGTTATGACTAGTCTACCTGGCAGTTCTTTGTGATGTGCAGCGTTTCTCCATCCGCACTGATACTTACAACTCCATTGAACTTCTGTGCCATATGCCAGCTTAACCTACAGTGACTCAATATTTTCTTCCTTGACATCATCAAAGATATTGAACATTGTCAGGTCAGAAGTCAGTCCCTGCGGAAATTCACTATAATTTCGTCATGTGAAACTGGGCTTGAACTTTATAACAGGATTATAAGGAACAATATTAAATAAAAGGAATTATAAAACTATGGGGAGATTAAGATCAGAAATTATTTCTCCAAAACACTATTTTTAAACTTTTTGGTTCTCCCTTCCCCCACCTGCGAAACCAAAACCGGTTCCTCAAAAAGTTCAATAGCAAAGTCTACCAAATATCTCCTGATGATACCTGACCTCTGCAGGGAAGAGGTTTCTAGTGAACGTGCCATGTAATAATTCAGCAGAACTACATGTTGAATTACTGGAACTCCTTTTAGACTCTGGTGAAATTCCTGACCCTGTAGAATTTCATAGTAAAGTCCTTTTGTACTTCAGCAAGGCTATGATTTCACCTCGTCTCTCTCTCTTACTATGTGTAGGCTCTGGCACCGCACAGGCAGTGTGCCTGTAGGGGGATAGGCAGATGCCACGTTTGGAGCTTTTCAGGCTTATTGGATTATCATCTTTTCATTTTTCCTCAGATTTCTCAACTCTCCTGCCTGTGGATGGTGTCTCTTGCCGCCCACTCCATTTCTATAATCAGGCAAGAAGCAGTAGCTAGTGAAAAAAGCTCAGATTGAGTAAGTCTTCTCTGAGAGCTTAAGGATATAGCTGTAGCTCTGTCCCAATTATCATTTTTACATAATTAGCTCTGGTATGGGGGGGAGGGGGTTAAGCTGCAGCCATGATTTCACAAGGCTATGACAAAACTTCTCCAACAATAACCTTCCCCTGCAGTCTTCCACTGGAAGATACTGGTGTATCCTGAACAAACTGAACAGTAAATCTGATGTAGGGAGCACTAAGCAGCTCAAGCTGGTGATTAGAAACTAAGATATATCTTGAATATAACAACAGGTAGCAACAAATATCTGGGAGTTTAAGAAAACTGTGGCAAATTGGAGGGTCATGCAAGCTGCTGATGCCAGCCCTTCCCACCAACACTGTATTTGGATGAGAGCCTTCCAGGCCTTCCTGTAAGGCCAACTGACTTTCAAAGGACTTGATCCTTGTAATGAGGACGCAGGACTCAGCAGGAACAGGAGAAACCAGCTCCTTCTCAAATGGAAAGCTTTATGTTTTCTGCTGTGATGGAAGTTCCCACAGAGCAGCCCATGCAGAACAAATTCAGCAGCTGAGACAGAAGTTTTCCTTGAGGGTTAGTATTCAGTTAAGAATTTCAGAAAAACAGATATTTCTCCCCAAAAACCCAAAAAGTTTCTAATTTCAATGACTTTTTTCAGGATTTCCTTTCAAAACTGAGGATTTTTTTGTTGAGGTTTATTTTTTTTGACAAAGATCTGGAGGCTTTGGAGAAGCATTTGGTAAATCTAAACTCTTTTATTGTTTTTATCAAAAGTTTTTATGGAAAGAACAGTGCTGGATAAATATGCCTCACCAAAGGGGAAAAAAAAAAGTACTTTGTAGCTGACTCTAATTGACTCTGAAGGTCTAAGAATCCCTCTCTAACTCAGTAATGGATTCAAGCTCAGAATATCACTTGCAATAATGCCAACAGTGAAAGCAGACATAACTTTATTTTGCTGCCATGGATATCAGGCAATTCCATTTTGAAAAATCTCGGGAAGAGCCAATTTATTCCTTTATCCTGGGTGTAAGATACGAGTAGACACAAATGTGTGTGGGCTGAACTTGTGTCGTGGACAATTTCCTGCCATACAGGATTGTAATTAAAATATTTTTTAGATACATGTATCAGCAGTTCTGCTGAAGGTCTTTTTCTTTCATGTGCAACCCAGGGCCATATAGAGCAACTTCAAAAGTAGGGTAGGAGATGGCCTTGCTTCCTGCTGCACTGCAACAGACCCTGTCTCTAAGAACAGGAAAGCCATTTGCTCTCCACTAAATCAGCACTAATGCCGGCAAAGAAGTAGCTTGTCTGAAGGAAAGAAGGAATATGCCAGTTCTCAGCTGGTGTTTCACTCTCCTAAAGACATTTTTCCAGGTTATGAGGTAGTAATTTCTATATGGCCTTTAAGATCTGTTCATCTTCAACATGCATTAAACAAGCAGCAGGATTTAGGTGAGATGGATGAGTCCTCACAGTTGTTGCAGAGATGCAGGTATTCTGAATGTCTTGAAAGAAACAGACCACAACTCCATCCCTCTCTGCATACATAAGGTGGTACAGATGGGGGGATTCTGGCTAAATTGATTCTTGCACTCTTGGGAGACATAAGGTGAGGGATATTTCTCCAATATGCATATTTTAAATGGCTGTGATGCCTGCCTACATGAGAAAAAGAGACATATAGCCCAGTCCAATTGTTATATTAGTGGAACAGTGGAAAAATAACAACCCAGCTAGCCAAATGAATATTGATTTGTTCCTAATCAAACCCAGGAAATGTCACATGGTAATATCTATGCAAGGCATATGATCCCCCAAATGGCAGCTGGTAATTGCCAGCTAAAGCATGTGATCCATGCCCCGAGTACATCAGGACAGCTTGGAAGTAACACTACTGACAGGAGTGGGATTTGCATCGAATGCCTGGCTATCACTAGGCTGAGGCAAGCTTTTGTATGAGTCTTGTGGCGGTGGTTTTCATCCAGGCTAATTTGTATACCTCATTTACCCTGTCCTTACGTATCCTCATCCTCACCTTCAAGAGAGCCTTCTAAGATGCAGCTAGCACAAGCAGCTCCTGTGGACTACTGAATTCAGGAGATAAGAGCTGCCCCATGCATTGCATTGCATTGCACGGCTGGTCCTGATACTTCTATACGTTTCTGCCACAGTGAAGTATAAGCTCAGGCTCCAGGGAGCAGGAGATGTCTGTTGCACAGTAAGAATGACTCTGTTTTATTCATAGAGGCAGGTTTGCAATTGCATATGGATCTGAAAGAAGCCATTTTATCCTCCTCCTCCGTCTCTTCCTTCTTCTCTTCTGGGTCATGCATCTTTCATTTTCATTCTTTAGAGTGAATGACCAAAGGATGGTGCAGCCCTGTTCCCCTTGGAGATGTCACTGGTACTGTTTCCTAACTCAGCTTGAAGGAAGCTGGAAGGATCCTCTGTGCATGCCCTGAGTATCCGCTGCTGACCACACCGGCACTGTGGCAAATTGGACTTTGATCCCTCTACCAGGAGATGTTTATCTCATCTCTTCATATCTGCATCCTAGAGGGATTCGTCCCATTTGTCAAAACGTAGGGCAAAAGCTCTCAATTCAGCAGCTAGCCCTGGAAAAATGAGGCTCATGAAAGATGATAATTTTCTGTTATTAATTTAGATAGTAAATTTATCATAACTATGAGTTCCAGTGTTATTACAGATATAATCCTACTAACAAGATGAGCTGCCCAGCTGGTCATCTTACAGATGAGATATAATCCTACTAACAAGATGAGCTGCATCTGAAACTGCGAATTATATTACTGGAAAAAAACAGGCCATGTGGAACAGGAGCAGGGGCTGGCTACTGAAGTTTAAAGCTCACAAAGGGATCTCAGAAGAGGAACTGGGGCACTGCTAGACCAGCAGAGAGAGCTGGAATTTATGTCTGAGGGGTCATGCCTGTTCAAGTGTAATGGAGGAAAATGTATTTTCCATGATACAAAGACAAGGGATTTTCAAGTTACCTGACTTCTTTTAGGAGGAGATTAGGAGGAAAACAGGAAGAATAGAATTACTAAGAAAGAAAAGGCAAATAGAAAGTGTCAGAGGGAAGGTCAAGTCTGGGAAGGTCAGCATGTAAAGTGGGGAAGAGCATCACCCTACCTTGGTGATGTATTCTTGGTGTATCAACCCATGTTTAGTCATGGAATCATCCCCAGGTATTGTTCATCACTGCATGTTCCCTGCAGAGGACTAACCTACTTTCTTCTTCTCTGTGATGGTCAAGTGAAGCTCCCTCCTGAATCCTCTGGCCTATATAGTGAGCCTCCCTGACCCCAGCTCCCCTTTTCTTGCTCTAGCTTTCAGTGCCCCAGATTTCTCAGACTTTCA